GCAAGTGACTCGATGGCACATAACAACAAACAACAACCATGTTTTCGAGCACACAGGGACCACTGTTGGGCTTTAGCTAACTTTACCTTAATGACTATCATATTTAAAGTGAAACTATTTTTCCAATCTAATGGCTTGAGAATAACTTCTTTGAAATGTTATTTGAATTTATTGATTTTAATATCATTTATAGTAATAAAGTTTCTCTCTTACTTATTCTCTCTCAAAGACGTTTTCAATTCCTGACAAAGAGCAGCAGAGGTCACAGATCAATGGTGTGTGCCTTCTTTTTGTGGCATTGGGTATTGTATCTTTTTTCACTCAATTTCTGCAGGTAAGAGATTTTAAGTATGTTGTTTAGCTGTTTTCCTCTTTTTGGGTTACAGTGTAACTAAAGGCTCTTTATTTGTGTTTTAGGGATATACATTTGCAAAATCTGGGGAGCTCCTCACAAAAAGACTGCGTAAATTTGGTTTCATGGCAATATTAGGGCAAAACATTGGCTGGTTTGATGATCTCAGAAATAGCCCTGGTGCACTGACAACAAGGCTTGCCACAGATGCTTCCCACGTTCAAGGAGTGAGTCATGGGGTGGGGGGGAGCTGGGTGTGCTAACTAGTGTAATAAAGTCTCTCTTTTGAACATTTTGATAATCACTTGTGTGTAACCTATGCAATAGAAACAAGTGGAATTGTGAGCCCATTTTGTAGTGTGTCAGAGCCACATTTTTCTAGTGCTGCCAGTGCTGACAAACAACAATTAAAGTATAGTGTCCCATAGAAAGTGCCCAGAATCAGTGCTGTGCTATGGTAGCCTTCAAAATCCATCAAGATTTTGGATTTCATCTGAGTTTAGCAAATAAAGAGACATTTCCTGAGACATAGTTGCTGTTTAATTAATTCCAACTCATGGCAACTTCAGAAGAGAAGTGTACACGATAGGATTTTCAGTGACTGTAATCTTTCGGAAATAGATCACCAGACCTTTCTTCCAAGGCACCTCTGAGTAGATTTTTTTGGGTTAGTAGGTGAGTACTTAACTCCTTGTGACAGCCAGCAACTCCCAGTCTATGCTTAGGAATGTATTAATTTCATTTGGTCTAGTCCAGCTCTGACTTTCGTTAAACAGTTATCAAGAGGTGAATGCTTGGAATGAAACGGAATTTTATTAATCTGGTCTTTAAAGTAATTAACTTTAGAAGAGGTTGTCATTTAACAGAATCAATCTCTTTAGTACAAAGTTGACTTGTCATAAAGGGATGCTCATGAACTGAAGCACCCCTGCAGAGGCTGTCTGAGACGAGCTGATTGCTTTTGATTTGCAGGCTGCCGGTGCTCAAATTGGGGTGATCGTCAATTCTTTCACGAATGTCACCGTGGCCATGACCATAGCCTTCTTATTCAGCTGGAAACTGAGCCTGGTCATTTTGTGCTTCTTTCCTTTCTTGGCTTTGTCTGGATTTGCACAAACTAAAATGTTGACAGGATTTGCCTCGCAAGACAAGCAAGCTCTTGAGACTGCAGGACAGGTAATCTTACAGATCTACTTTCCAGACTGTTTTAAAGTTGAATGGCTATCAGGCAGACTGTTAAGAGTGCAAAGAGATTTGAAACTGTTCACCAGTTAGAAATCTTCAACTAATCCTTCTCGTATCCCAAGGCCTGGTTTACTTATAAAGTTCATATACATTGTTTTTAACACCAGATCTTTCCCATTTCCTTAACCCATCCCTCCCTCCACCTGTCAAATTGTGTGACCCTATGATTACCCACCTCCTGCCCCGCCTCACCTCTCTGCTCCTATCCTCCCCCCCTTACATCCTCATACATTTTTACTAGATATCTGTTTTTACAATAATGGTCTTATACAGTATTTGTCCTTATGGAACTGAGTTCGTTTACTTAGCATAGTACTCTCCAGTCACTCCCAAGTTAGGTAGTAATTGAAAAAACTTAAGTTGCCTTGTATGGTATTTTGTTTGATTAATTTTTTTATTGAGAGTTTAATGAAAATTTATAAAGAACTTAGGTTTCTAATT